CAGCGATTACGAGGACGAGCAATGCTAAGTGATCTTGGGGATGGTTAGAAAAAAGTGATGGGTGACCATAGCATCAGTGCTTACAGTCACTAACTTCTAGTCTGAGCAATGTTTGTAGATGCAGATTATTTGGTTGGGGTCGGCATGACTATCGTAACCAATCGTTTGAGACTGTGTGTGACATGACTCAGAATCAATCACAGTGCCATAGGTGTATACACTCTCTATCTTCCTTCAAACTATGAGATTAAAATCGCTTCATATCTTACTTTCTACGAACTAACTGTTTCTTGCTGTACTATATCGTTATATGCCATCTTTCTTTTATATATTATCCCCATTGAATTAACTACTTCTATGAATCCGGTGTTCATGTTGTTGTGCGAATGAGTGAGGTATGGCAACTTGGACCGATGTATATGTGTGTCTGGTCCTACGTTATAGCTGACTAACTGTCATTATTCCCGACGAAAAACCATCTATAAATTAAACTTCTCAACGTAAAAGCGTTTACTCTTGCCATCCTACTAAGTTAGTAATACAATATGAATGTAAATTCTTCTAAATTTATAATCACATAAACAATCAAATGACCTGCAAACAATGTAGTGTTATTATTCTTTTGTTTTTTTAAAAGTTTCATTCACACCTTAGTTTTTTATTTGTACATAACCCTAGTTTCTTATTTCAGTATATAAGGGCTTCATTCGTTCATTCATTCACTCATTCACTCATTATGAATAGATTGATTTCATACGGTGGGATAGAGAATATATATATATTGTGTAAATATTTCGTTGACCCTCATTTTAAACAAGCGTGTTTAATACAAAAATGCTACTATGTCAATTGTTTTCTCAATAGAGAATTACATGAGCTATAGAATTAACTGATGTGCATAATCAATGTAACCTTGAAACGGATATAGATCAATAGCAAAAGTTGTATACTTCTTCGTTTTGTTTTTATTTCTGGTCATAGATAAAGGTTTGCAGTTTACAAAAGAACGGATGCTTATTCTAGAAAACGTTTGCTCAATTTTAAAATATTTTAATGGTTGAAGTCATGAGTCAATTAAAGCTAAACCACTATGGAAAACCTGTAAGCATTGGACGACTGTTTCGTCCTACTGTGGAACTCCTTGGCAGTGCACACTCATGATCCCACCTCATGAGATTCGAACTCGGGTCCTATTAGTCTCGCGCGCGAGAACTTAACCATTAAACCACTGAGCTGGCCAGTATCCAACGGTGTTAATGTCTAACTTCAACCAATCCACGAAATTGAGCGACACATCCACCATTGTCGTCAGTGAGTTACTATCTCACAACGAACCCGGTTGAACTCCACTGGCCACAACTTCTCACTAGAACTCCAGAAAATGTCTCTTGAAGCCAGTCACTAGTGTTTATATGTTGATTCATATCAGGAGGGTTTTTTGTGGATTTTATGGTCATTTAAATGGTTTAGATCATGAGTCGATTGAAGTTAGACCCACCATGGAAAATCTGGAAGCATTGGACAACCGTTTCGTTCTATTACGGGACTCTTCAGCAGTGCGCATCCACAATCAGATTTTTAAAAAACATAGGAATTTAGTTTAAACGATAACGTATACAGAATAGTTTATATTATCCCATGAGTGTTGGCATTGAACATAATGTAATAGACCTTGATTTGTGTTAATTATCATCTCTAAACAACGATATCTAGAATCTTAAGGAGTCAACAAATCCTATACATACATACATACATACATACATATTTGCCTCATATAAGTATATACATGTGCATAACATTTTTTTAATCAATTTACTTACCAATGGTTAGATGTTATCAATATCGATTTGATGATTCTAGAACCCCCAATACTTTTGATTGAACATTAGTAATTTTCTGTTATCCTCCGAAATCAACAATTAAGTAATATAGTTATGAACATCTAGATTTTTGATGAAAATTTTTTATTTAATTACAATTATGTCATAGAAATATATTTGAACTGAGATCATCCTAGAATTATATCATACAACTATTCGAAATACAACATAAGAGATTCTTATTTCTATCTGTACATTCTGTTATCAACTAAATATAAGAGAATTTGTTTGGGCTTCTATTGTTCTTCATAAAATGTTATAAATAATCTCAATTCTTTTAGAATAAATGGATTCAGGATAGAAATGGAAGTTAGAATAGAATTTTTGTTCTATTTAAAACTTCTCATCTGAATATATATCTACATCCTATGGTTGATATAAACATAAGGACTTGAGCCTAACACCTTTCGCTTTGAGCGACACCCAGTTATCCACTGGGCTTCTGAATTCGAACACCTAAAAACTTGCTCAACGATTATATTGTATATATCACTATTATTAAAGGTTTGAATTATTCTATGTTGCCAAAACCTGCAAGTAATCCTTATTTTTTAATCAGTATAGGTTTGAAACATTAGATGGTAATTATACTCAGTCAAAAACCACCATCAATTCAGTTAGAACACCGGACATTCGCTTTTCATCCTCTCAGTTTCGTAAACAAGATAGTGAGGTAGGACTTCCCTGATAGTGGTTGTATGCACATGACTATGTGAGATCATTTCGAGAGGGAGAGCAAACTCTACTCACTATCGGGGTCGTTTCACTACCACTACTGTTACTAGGTCAAGTATTTGTAACAATATTCTCAATTCATTCTGTTAATTTTGTCTAACTTAAACTTCATTGTCAGTCAGTTTACTGTTTTATTTTGTTTGTAACATTTCCGTTATGATTTAACTATTGTTTATTTATTTGAACACAGATATTGGTACAAGGGGGCACCAGATACATATGCGCCACACAAATCTCATTTGATTTGTGTGAGGGCTGTGATACTACCCGAGTGCCCAAACCGAAGCAGGTGGTTTTCTTAGGGGACGACGAGCGAAGCCTTCGATATAAAGGTCTAATCCACAAGGCAGTGAAGCATCGTAAGGAGATGTAGTCCCATGGTAACCTGTGACCAACGATTGGTTCATACGCCATTTGTTCCTTCAGGATACTGGAGCCCATGTGCACCATTAGTTTGGAATCAGGGTTTTCCAACTCCCCTACATGGAATCTCCGTGCCCACCAACCCGATTAAAGCGCCGGAAATTCGCTTTTCGTCCTCTCCATTTTGTAAATAACACCCCTATCACGAGAAAGCAGTCAGTAGGACTTCCCTGACAGAGGCTATATACGCGTGGCCCTGTGAGATCATTTCGAGAGGGAGAGCGGAGTCTCCCCACTCTCGGCCGTACCAGGGCATTTATGGGCTCGGTTAGCACAGTCGGTAGAGCATCAGACTTTTATGATTTGACTAAGAAAATGTTGTCCTTCAATTATTTTGAGTCCAAACATAGAAATTAATTTTCTATTCCCTTCATAACTGCAAGTAATTTAATAAGAGGTAACGAGATATTTTATCAAATATTCGACATGATCATAAATAAATTAGGTTTATTGTAAAAATGATAGCTGTACGGACCTCTGTCAATAGTACGCACCAACGATGTCCACGTATAAGTGAATGTACTAAAGCCGCTTAGTTTCAAGGCGAGCGCAATATTGGGAAACGAATGAGTTATTACTAGACGATTCACACTTTACAGTCGTTATCATTGGGGTGATCAAACCAAGACATGACCTCAGTCCATGAAGTCATTGACTACTGGATTGAACTACGTTGATATCCGCAGACTATTTGATTGAGGTTATAGATGCATTCACATTGCCTTCCCTTGGATCTTAAGTTTTTAAATTATCTCATATTTTTTATTCCGTGAATTCATTCTTTATTGTCAATTCATGTTACCTATACCTAATCTTTCTACTACTCTGGCATTTTTCTTGGCAATATCATCTCTCTGTGATGTCGTGTGGCAACTTGAATTGATAAATATATGTGCCAGGTCTTACTTTACTTGTGATTGACAAACTGATGGAATGGCATACCAATCGAGGAATTTTAAGAAGTCACACAGCATTAAACACTTGTTTCATTCTGGTGTTTGAGAGTCTACACCTATGGTCCCGCACAAGAACTTCAGTTTTCTTAGTAAACATAATAGCTCAAAACCTGTGAGATTAAACTCAGTGACCAACATCTCTAACTTCAGTCAAACTGAACTAATCTCTACAAACCATCCGACTAAATTATACCTTTATTTAATCTTGGTTCCTTTTCTTGTATATTTTCGAGTTTGAATATGGTCTATGGTTGTAGTAATAGTGTCCCAATGAGGTTATTTACTTAACTGCTAAGAGGATATGGAAGAGATGAGAGAAAATACATAAGCTAATGTTTTAACTATGCATCATACACAGAATTAGCATACATTTTATGCTAAAAGTTATTTTACACAACATTAATTTACTGACTAACTAGTTTACAAATACTAGAACAGAACCAGATAATTTGAGCAAATAAATTTCCCCATATGTTACGACATTATTAACTAATAGATAAACAAATTCAGTTTTTATTTGAGTTCTAAGAAAAGATAGGAAGGCGGATTTCAATCCAATTATTTGCAGATTAAGCGCTCAATAAGACAACTGAATGTCTTGGGTTCGATCCCTCATGAGTGGTTACTGCTAAAGAGTCTAGAATGAAACAGCTGTTCAACTCTCTGTAGTTTGCAATAATATTTCAACTTAGGTTGATCACATATATAATATCTACATAAAACTAGAAAGATTAATCAAAGAATATCTAACAGAATAATGATCCCTACGATTATCTCCACTTTGGAAACTTATTGAGCTAAATCAATGGACTTGTAGTCTGACTAGTAACCAAAACACTTAATCCAAATCAGATGCTGTGTAACATAACACAATGCTATCATCATCATATAAATATTAGGAAAATCGACATCTGTTCTTAAATGTAAGTCTAGATGAATAAATCACATATTATTATAACTTCACAATTTCATTATCTCATTTTGCCCTAATATTTATACGTTTCAGTTGATCGAGGTAATCGTCATTCGACTACGACAGAAACGCGAAGTAAAGTGACCGATGAGCTCCCAGGTCATAGACGCCATCCTCCACCGCCTCTTTCTCCAAACTCGAAAGAAGATATACACTATCCACGTGACGGGACTGTTAGTCGACCTCGAATTTCAGATGGTTCTAAAGCTGGTAAGTCTTAAAACCAGTTCATAGAGGAGCTGAGTTGATCATCTCTATAATATAAACGATATTTTGATCTCTGGAAACAATATTATTTAATAAACAACACTGTTTTTACTATTATCTCGATGTGAAATAAACATAGAGTTCAAGTTAGGTGAACTATTTCTACGACAATAACACTAGTGCTCGTCTGTATAGTCATAAATTGCGAACTGCTGTTAGTTGGACAACTAGTGGAAACCAGAAAAGATCGGATAGGTGTTTCGTTCTAATGTGAACCCAGGGCACTCACGGTTGGAGACCTGAGCTCAAACCCTCGATCATTGAGTTGGCAGAGAGTGGCTGTGATTCCTAACTTCACTAAACAATATCAGGCATGAAACAAGCATCGTTAATTGGAATGGATTATAGTTGTGCAATATCACAAACCAACCGTAGTTGAGGATGCGAACTGCTGGGTCTCAACCCAGTGACATGGGAGTTAAGCTCTCGGCTAGAGGCCTGAAGTTTAATCCCCTGTTGTGTTGTATGTGTGCACTAAGAAAGTTTTGTATTAGGTTTCAACAGCTATCCCGTGCATTTCTAATTATTAGTGGTTGCATATATATATAATATATAAACTTAATAGAGCTACTAAATAAAGCTACCAAAAAAAACTCTTCCCGACTACAATACTTTAGGTTGCCAATGAATGATCTAAGTGTCAAGACCTACCTATTTAGTATAATATTAGAGGAGAGTAAAAACCCAGGGCTTGATGTTACTCACCAACTACTTTTTCCCAAGCACATTCAAGGATAATGCAAATGAGTCTCTTAGGTTTTAAACGTGAGGTGCTTACTTCAAAGCAAACCTTACAAAAAATGAAATGGTTAGGAGTGTGGCAAATACAATGTAGATCTGCACAGAGGACAGTTTCGCCATGAACAGTTAGAGATTACCCATAATAATCATGGCACAAACGTGAGTTCCGGGAGCTTATAACGAGTTGAACCGACATAGTGGCAACCTGAACTAAATATCATAGCCGGTTGAGGCAAGTCACCAGATACCTTTAACGTTTTACGATTTTTGTGAAATCATATCGCGAATCGACCAGACACGCTGACGTCACATACTTAGTCACCACACCATGAGGCCGCAAGCTAGGTCGGGTGAAAAGAGGTGAGACACAAAATGAAGCCCGTTAAAGGCCTATATGCTCAGTTCCCATTGGCGGACAAATGGTGCCAATTCACTACACACGCCATCATCATTACTACATCGTAGCAAACAAGCTAGCATGTAATAGAACAAATACCACGTTCAACAAGAATCCGACGAGAGCTTCCCTGTTAAACCCAGCAGATAGTGCAACATTCTACGCATAAAATGCATCCCACACAAAACCCATTGAAACAGATGACAAAAACTGTTTATTAATGTTAACTAAAATATGATATCAATACAAAAGCCTCAGTGCACAGACGAGAAGTAGGAGAGAGAAGCAACAGGATCGGGTACAATTGTTGCTGAATTTGGTTTCCAGTTCGCTGGACAAACTTCGCCATGTTTCTCAAAGAAAATAAAAGCATCCAAAAGACGAATCGCCTCATCAACTGATCTCCCTACAGGGCGATCGTTAACAGTAATTTGACGTAAAATCCCGTTGCGGTCAATGAGGAACATACCTCTAAAAACAAACAAATAAATACGGAGTCAGTTTATGGGCACAGACTCAGGATATGGCTCGTCTTTATGCAAGTACCGCCTGTGTGACATTTGCAATATGATAAATATAGCAGAGATGTGTTCATGAATTAACAAAACGAACCTGAATGCATGACCTTCCTGTTCGTCAAGAACCTCGTACGCTCGTGATATCTTTAGGTTTTTATCGGACAGCAAAGGTATATTCATTTGCCCCAAACCACCAGCTTTGCGATCCAATTTCGTCCATGCTAAATGAGCATAGACTGAATCAGTTGAGCATGCGATTACTTGACATTCTCTAGATTGGAACTCAGCAGCTCTTTCACTAAATGCAATTAATTCCGTTGGACAAACAAAAGTGCTGAAAGGAAAACATGGGTGTTAATTTAATTACGTGAAGTATTGTAAAATTGTTGAGAAATGAATAGTACATTTGACTTACAAGTCAAGTGGATAAAATACCAGTAACACATATTTTCCTTGAAATTGACTCAAACTAATTGGACGCAATTCCGTGCCAACAACGGCAGTGCCTTCAAAATTAGGAGCAGGCTGATTTGGTAATAACATATTTGTTTAATTAAAATATCCCAAACGTACGGAGATCTAAGTAAATTATGACGATCACATCAATGCGTCCTCTGTATTTAAACACTTCATTCGTAAGGGGGAAAACCATGGAAAGCGTGGCCAGCCATACAGACATGTCTAACTCTCAATACAAGCCATTGGTTCAATTCAAATCAACCAATCAACATTCTGACCGTAACCAAATAACCTTGAGTAGCCTAACGTGATTGATTGATTGAATTTTCTATCTCAATCGATTAAACCTTATGTTTTGTCCAGTGGTGTTTCTATCGCCTCAAGCACAGTGACCTTCATAATCTTACCTTAACATATTGAGAGCGTTTTTGGGTTATCTAAGATGTATGTTTGATAACTTTGCTGTCAAAATTACGCTTCGTCCATTACGAAACATTAATTTGCAATGAAAAGTACTTGATCAGTCGGCATAGTTAATGGTTATATTAAGAAAACTAGTTTCTCACAAATAATCTTTTTCGTTGTTGAAATGTTAGATCTAACCTTTTTTTACTACGATTACAAGTAGATTCAATATTATTTACAGCTTACTTACTTAAGCCTGTTACTCCCAATGGAACATAAGCCGCCAACCAGCGCTCTCCAACTCACTCTGTCCTGGGCCTTCCTTTCTATTCCTATCCAATTGTTGTTCATTCTTCTCATGTCTGTCTACATTTCTTGGCGATTATTTACAGCAGTTACCTCAAATTATTGATTTCTAACAAAGCAAAATAGGATTAGTGGAATAAAGTGAGATTATTTCATTACAGGTCTTCCCTTTACTTATTAGCACCTTAAAATGTACACACAGATGGTAATCATGATAAAGTTCCATAAACTAGAAATAATACGTGGATTAGGCGTCATACATGACTTTTAGTCACAAAACACCCGTCCTTTTACACGGTCAGTATCACGTGTTACAAACAAAGAATCCCACCGATTATTGAGCAAATTAAATTCAGAAACAATCTATCCATTGTGTGGTTATGAAAATACGGTTCTGAAGAATTACGAACTACAAAATATAGTTGCCGACTGTTCCTGTGTTTCCAATGGTTCTTTTCCATCTGACAAAGTTTGTGATGGAAACCATCATCATACTTAAAAAATTTATTCTCTGAAGAAGTGACTTACACTAAGTCACGAAACGTCAGAAAATCCAATTTTCTACTCATTGGGATGTTACAAATATATTATTTCTATTTATGACAATCAACCCAATGCTCAATTTATTCGAAATTATCAAATCAAACCTTAGTAATGACACCTTCCTCCAAGCACCTTCATTTATCAGTTATATGATATACCCTTGTGGGCCTGGGTAATTTTATATTGGTTTTCAGGAGAACCAGACACCGTCCAGACTTTCACGTGACAACCCGGACAGTACATCTCAATCTCGTTTAACAGGAAGGCTAGACGTCGCCCAGGCTTAAAATTTGTAGCCCAAATAGTACTGCTCAATCCTGTTTCCAGGAGAACCAGACATCACCCAGGCTTAAACTTTATAACTCGAGCAGTACAGCCCAATCCCGCTTCACAGGAGAACCAGACACTATATAGGCTTTAGCGCTACAATCTGAATAGTACAGCTCAATCCTGTGGCGCAACCACACAGTTACCAATCACCCTGGTGGACCACTGCAAGCACCATAGTATATTAAGATTTGATATTCGGAGCCAGTCTCTCGTAAATTGAGGCACCCACTCCTGTTCATTATCAAAAAATAGAGTTACTAAAATCAAACAAGTATTTGAAGTAATAAGCTCCCTTTCTAAATTTTACTGGAACAATGACAAGACGGAATTGATGCATTTGCATCAAACATTTCGAACAATCCAGTCACATATATACTTGTCGAGGCATTTTATATGAAAATTAAGAAAGGTCAAATAAAGTTCAAGTAGACAAAATAACAGCTATAAATAAAGAATGAAAATTAACACTACATGTGAAGAATAAGAAATTGTCTCATTGCCCTAGGTTATAAAATGACTTGAGGATTACGAGAGCGAATTCAAGGCTACGACGAATTATTGGTGCACATATAAGGAGTGTTTGAATTTACGAATAGCCAAGGCTTCTACAAACCTAAGAATTCGTCGTTGACAAATTTTATACGTTTTAAGAGATGTACCGATGTCAATTTTATGTCCCATTTCAGTTATGTACTTTACTATCGATGAGCATGGTTTTCTACTCTCCATGTTTATCGGAGCATTTGACACTAAATGGTTTTAATGCCATCTAAACATATGTTCCATAACCCTGAATTGAATTGTTCGATTACTCCTCCCCATGTATGTGTGTCCACAAAAACATGTAAACTGGTAAATACGATGTTATGTAACGTAACCGTTCGTGGAATGTGTAGACCTATGAGAATCATGAGTTTAGTACTTTCAACCACAACCAGTATAGCAGTATATGTTTTCTCGTTGGCTGCTTTTAGTTTATCTTAAAATCATGCTGTTTGATTCATGACTAAATGGTAGAGATATAAACACTTTTCTTCGCAGCAGAATGTTATAACTTGTGGCCCTGTGCCTGATTAAGTTATAACGTAATGATACCACCAATTAAAGAACAGTGATTCATCAATCGAACTAATGGTGCGTAAACTCGTACGACCAGTCTAGATTCCTTATCGGTTCTCTTCCTGCCTAGCTCTGACTGTTAAGTTCAGAACACTAATCTCAGCCTCTGTGATATGAATCATGTATTTCAAATATACCGGGTTTATATACAAACGAAACAGACCACATCGTACCGTAAAATAGGAAACAAAACTTGTACAAGATGTAACCAAATGTGACTGTGAATGTGGGAGACTGTAATTGATAAACTGGTAATAACTCAAGAATGGTAAATCGCGTATAATAATAGTCTATAGGTCAAAATAAAGCTTGTAATAGAAGGAACATGAATATGCATAGTTTAGCTACTTGACAATTATACAATAGAAATATATGTATAGTATTAGTCCATAAATAGATTCTAACATTTAACATTAATTATACTGATCGGATATAACACAGAATTAAAGAGGGGTTTCGGTGTTGACTAGTTTTTTGCACTTATTCATAAACTTTGATGGATAATTGTTTGATATCAAGTGTATCAGTCAAGAGTTTCACATTTTCAAATCTATCTGTAGTACATATTCTTTGAGTCCATTTGAAGAAGCATTTTACCAAGCCTATCTTGTATTGAAATGAATAAGAAACTGTAGAAATTCAAATATTACTCAGTCAGTGTTGGTTTTCCTAATACTAACTTGTATGAATTGAAAGTTATATTTTGTCAGCTTTCATCAGTCATCAATCAAAATTTCTTGAATTTCCACTTGCTTACTTACTTTCTTATTTACACCTGTTACCCCAAATGGGGCATAAGTCGCCGATCAGAGTTCTCCAACTCACTCTATCCTGTGCCTTCCTTTCTAGATCTATCCACTTGTTGTTCATTCTTCTCATGTCTGTCTCCATTTTTCGGCATAATGTGTTCTTTGGTTTTCATTTTCTCTCTTGATTGGGAGGTTCGTGGGTGCTACTTCAATTTTGGGTGAGTTCAATGGGACTGGTCAATTTAAGAGTTCCTTAAAGTGCTCTGCCCATCTGTTTCACTGTTCTTCAATGTTGGTGATTACGTTGCCTTTCAATTTGCTTAAGACATGGTTATTTCTGAGATTGCGATAAAAATTATTTTATAGTCATATGTTGTATATATAGACCTCGGTGAACATATTTCCTTCCATTTCCTCATACAACTGTCAGCTGTTATTATAATCATTAGCATTATTATCATTAATATTATGATTACTTCACTAGTGTTTTTCTTTAGTAATTAACATCACTTTCATCATTTCTGTCTACCGTAATCATAATAATTTGCACATGTTTCTTTTGTCCGATCACATCATGATCTCTCTTCCATTTAATCCGTTCTACCCATTGAACCTGCATGAATATGAGAAGTATTTACAGTTATTTCTTTTCCCTAGTGAAGAAGAAAGTTATTGTATATAGCCTATTATAGTCCTCTTTTATGCCTCCATATGAAAGATAAACTGCCTAACTTGGCTAATTTAATGTATAAATATCAGTTCACTTACTTCTGTGGGGTTAGATATGTAGACCGTTCGTTATGTCTACTTCGACAACATTTATCACCATTACTTATCATTGGGCAGCACAGATCAATTACGCTTTCTGTTCTGCCCTATGTAAAACCGTGATCACGGACTTACGAATTTGAACCTACCTTACGTAATTTTCTCGCCTAATTAATATCCCATTCCTCGATATTCCATAATCAATCACATGATATAGCATTGTCATTTATAGCATGTCAATGATAGTACCTGTTTGATGATTGTCAGCTATGGTTAAATCCCATCCACAAGTCTACATACTACTCACTATTTGGACTGACTTACTTACTTACTTACGCCTGTTACTCCCAATGGAGCATAGGCCGCTGACCAGTATTCTCCAACCCACTCTGTCCTGGGCCTTCTTTTCTAGTTCCATCCAATTCTTGTTCATTTTTCTCATGTCTATTTCCATTTCCCGGCGTAATGTGCTCTTTGGTCTTCCTCTTTTCCTTTGGTCTTGAGGATTCCATGTGAGGGCTTGTCTTGTGACGCAGTTGGGTGCTTTCCTCAATGTGTGTCCTATCCACTTCCAGTGCTTCTTCTTGATTTCTTCCTCCACTGGGATCTTGTTTGTTCTCTCCCACAGTTGGTTGTTGCTAATAGTGTCCGGCCAATGGATCTGAAGTATTTTGCGTAGACAATTGTTAATAAACACTTGTATTTTCTGGATGATGGATTTCGTAGTTCTCCAGGTTTCTGCCCCATACAGTAGAACTGTCTTGACATTTGTATTGAAAATCCTGACCTTGGTGTTGGTTGACAGTTGCTTTGAGTTCCAGATGTTCCTCAGTTGTAAATATGCTGCTCTTGCTTTGCCGATCCGCGCCTTCACATCTGCATCAGATCCACCCTGTTCATCAATGATGCTGCCCAAATATGTAAAGGTTTTTACATCTTCCAAATCTTCTCCGTCAATTGTGATTGGATTGGTGCATTCTGTGTTGTATCGGAGAATCCTGCTTTTCCTTTGGGGAAGTTCTTTTTCTAGTTTTATTATAAAGATTGTTCAATTTAAAGCGTGATTCTCACTATAAAGGTCATCGAAATTGTAAAGTGTTTATTTATCAGATAGATAAGAATTTTTGTTACTGTCTTGTAAAGTTATGGAATTCAAACAAATCCTTTATGTATGCATCAATAGAACACCTTTGTTCCTTTGTGTTTTTTTCTTCACACAGCTACTCCATTAACTCCTACCAGACATTCATCAAAAAATCTTGGTGACGATCCAGAGAAAAGAAAAGGACAACAAAAGCTATACGACGACGAATTCAAAAATGGAAATAGAGAACCAATGCCATTGGATCCCAGGAAACCAATTACACAGTTTAATTATGGCATACTTCAACATCCAGATGAATATAATTATTTAGCTGAAGCAGAAAAACAAAAACCAACTATAGATTTTGCATCAGAATTATCTTATGATAGTAGTCTTTATGGTAAAATTAGCCAAGGTTCCGCTCGAAAACAACCACCAATTAAGCATTATGATAAGTATAAGGATAAAAGTAAGCTGATAATTTTTGCTTACATACGTATTACAATTATTATTACTATTATATTACTTATTCTGCGTTAGGTGATTGGAGTGAATGGATGAGTAGCCTTGAAACATAGTAATGTGAGAGTTGATACATGACAATCAAAATAATCTGTATTAACAAAGGAAACGATGAACTCCATGTTGTACAAATTGTTACTAATCTGTTTTGTTATATGGCTAAGATATTCACACCTTAAATGACATCATATTGGAAATAAACGTTTAGGTTACTATTCTATCACATGCTGTAGATTATAATCTATCTATCAGATAATATAACTTAGTTACTTCATGGTTTGTTATCACAGTTTATCTGCCGTAGCCCTTGTTTCAACTTATTTCCATGTTAGCCAACACACTTTGGCCAGGCTTGTCCTACATGAAACTTGTTAAAACCACAGCCAATTTACCGTATCCATAGAGTATGCTAAAGATTATTTGAATTGTACTTATTCGAGGATTTTCTCATACATCTATTAAGTTGGGAAATATTACAAGGATTATTGGTAATTAAGATGTGACTGGAAAATCCTATACCACTAGAAATAATACAGGGATAGTTGAAGTTACCAGTAGTTTTATAATTATAGATACTTCTTACACTAATTAGTCTTAAATAGGTCAAAACTGATATTTCGTGTTTATTCTTAAGCTTCAATCAAAGTTAAAGTAGTGGTGCGGATCCTGTAAGTACCCCCCTGCCATTTTAGATGATTTATTGATCAATTTATACTACTAACTGTAAACACTTATTCATTAACTTCTGATATAGCAGTAACTGTTTGTTGTCAAATCATCAATTTCTGATCAATTCTATTAGAACAATCAGATGGTATACTGATTAAAATGATTCTGTAAAAATTTAAAGGATTATATATTTTAAAGTCAGGTTTTCCAAGGTGGTCTAGCTTCAATCGACTCATGATCTAAACCATTGAAATGGCCGTAATATCCACAAAAAACCGTTCTGATATGAATCAACATATGCTCACTAGTGACTGGCTTCAAGAGGTATTTCCTGGAGTTCTAATGAGAAGTTGTGACCAATGGAGTTCAACCGGGTCCGTTGTGAGATAGTAATTCACGGATGACAATGGTGGACGTGTGGCTCAATTTCGTGGATTAGTTGAAGTTAGACATTAACAGCGTTGGATACCGGCTGGCTTAGTAGTCTAGTGGTTAAGCACTCGCGCGCGAGACTGATATTAATTTCAGTTGGGGATCGGTCCAATGTTTTAGTAAATCAATTGTTTTCTATTTTGTATGACTTCAGTAAACTGAGTTTCGTACAAAATAATTATTGATTAATCTCAATTGTAGATTGTTCTTAGTGAAATTTTTACTCAGAATTTAACTAGTAATCAAGGTAGATATTAACAAGCAGAAAAAAGTAACTGTAGATTAATCTCATTTGAGAACAGTTAAAAACCAAGGAGTCTACGTCACTATACATAAAGGTTCGGGGGTCGTCGGCATGTACTGTTCAAGAGTCCTATACTAGAATGAAACGGCTGTCCTGTGTTTTCTGGTTTTCAATGATCCAACTGATGTTCTTGACAAAATACCTTATCTAAGAATCAAACTCAATTTAATGAGGAATTTAGATCTCGGTTTGTTTTTGATGTCTAGTAAAAACTGACATCAGTTTTCTTCTTGAATAATTTCCATTGAGTTGTATATTTCTGTGTGCAATTTTCTAATAGAGAAGATTCTATTGTTCCTAGTTAGAGGAAACTTAATTGTGTATAAGTTGTTCAAACAGCTGATCTTCCTATTTATAATCCATTTATTAATTAATATCAGAAAGGGTTTTGTGAATATTATAGTAATTTTTAATGGTTGAGATCATGAGTCAATTGAAGCTAGACCACCATGGAAAACTTGGAAGCACTGTTTGACGGTCGTTTCGTCCTTTTGTGGGACTCCTCAGCAGTGCGCATCCACGATCCCATCTCACGAGATTCGAATCCAGGATCTATCAGTCTCATGGGCGAGCGATTAACAATTATCAGTTTAGAAAATACATTTTTGTGACACATTTTATAATCATATCATTTTCTGTTACAGTAAAAATAAGTTGTTGCTTTCTTATCATTACATCTAATACCTGACAATGTACTAACTTGAACATTAATTCAAAGGTACTTGAACTCTAATACAAAATACATAATCACTTAGATCACATATTTCAAGGTTATTATTGGCACGTCGATTGAATTGTCATACCATAAACACATACTTTTTTTATGTAAATCAGAATACACAACACCAAATTAAGTTATATAATTCTGATAATAGATCAATAAACTCTCAAAGTTCAATGTAGGCAAGTATAACACTATAGTCATTTTAAAGTTTGACCATGTTGGAGTAGATTGTATTCATCAAATGAGATTATCTGGTAAGGGTATTTATCGTAATAACCTGTGCACACTAATGACTTGGATGGAGATAAAACTTACTGAAATGTCTATCAGAAAATGTAATTTGAAGAGTTAATCAAGTTGATTGTATGATGGTTGATCGTCATTGACACTAGATGTAAATTCCATTGTATCACAAACTGACTGTTCAGTTCTTCTATTTTCAATAATTTTCAATCGATGACGATTATCGTTGAAATACAGATAGGATGTTAAACAAATGATTCATTCAACTATATTCAATCATCCCATTAATAAAGTGATAACTTCTCAGACTTTGAAGTTAAGTGGCAGATTCTCATCTCGCAGAAAGCTTGATTTATCTCAAAACTAACGGTACGCCTTGCTGACTGATACCATAGTTTCCTCCGCTCAAAATCAAAATATTTTCACTATCAAGATGATGGACTAAAAATCAATTTTAATTACTCTTCTAAAGTAACTTAAGTAAAACATTTAAGGAAGATTTAGTCCTGAGACCATTCAACTTTCAACCATTTGGTTATAAGTTCTAACTATAATTCACCTATTTTAACTTAGACAATCGCAATTAGAATCAATACCCCACAGATATATGTAAACGAAGAGCGCTTAATTAGTAAGTTGTGCTAATAGATTCTAGTATGGGGTTGTGGAGACTATTAAGTTTTAATTGAGATCTTGAACCAATTGATGTTAGACCATCACAATTGAAAACCTGGAAGCACTGGACGGCCGTTTCGTCCTATTGTGGGACTCCTCAGCAGTGCGCATCCACGATCCCGCGAGCGGGATTCGAACCCAGGGTCGCGCAATTTCGTGGATTGGTTGATGTTAGAAACTGTCACCATTGGATGCCGGCTCAGTGGTCCAGTTGGTTAAGCGTTCGCGCGCGAGACCGAAGGCCCTGGGTTCGAATCCCGCTCGCGGGATCGTGGATGCGCACTGCTGAGGAGTCCCACAATAGGACGAAACGGCCGTCCAGTGCTTCCAGGTTTTCAATTGTGATGGTCTAACATCAATTGGTTCAAGATCTCAATTAAAACCTAATAGATTCTCGCTAATTCCTTTGAAATTAGAATATGGTTAGAAAATGGGTTTCGATAAGTCTATTTCGTGGGTTGTTTGCCAATTATTGGTCGAATCCTGATAAGAGACAAACATTTAACCGTTGAACTTTGATAACTAGTCCTACCATTAGTATTTGTAAATTTAAGCCTGTAGACACTATGTTCATCTACAAATGGATTTATATTAGACATATGGCTAAATCTAAGCACACACACATACATACACAGAAAAGTTGACATTTTCATCATGGATAATTTTTAACTAACGTAATGTTAGGCTAATCCATTTTATCAAATGAATTCTGTTGAATTAATAATCAGTGGTCTAATGGTTAAGTGCTCGCGCGCCAAGCCAATAGGTCCTGCGTTCGAGCCCCGCGTGGTGCGGGATCGTGGATGCGCACTGCTGAGGAGTCCCATACTAGGATGAAACGGCTGTCCAGTGCTTCCAGGTTTTCAATGGTGGTCTAGCTTCAACTGACTCATGATTTCAATCTGTGAGAATTAATAAATGTTTGTCCTCGGGTGAAAAAAAACACCCTATGGAAAAACTAGTTAGTTTATGTTATTTGAATGAATTATGCTTTGAGGAATATAATCGGACTGAACTAGTTCACATATTATAATTTCAAACAAATTGTCACCTTAATCATATATTGAGTAATTTGTTATAACTTGTCAGTTGAATGCTGCTTGTTTTGGGGTTAATAAATCTTCACTTATACCAGTCTTTGTGTACTTACTTTCGCGTCGTGGGAATTGCAGAAGTCTTTCGTTTCGAGTATAAGTGATAAGCGTTTCCGATGTAACAAGCAACATTCAACTGACAAGTTATAACAATTGGTGACGGGGTGAAAAAAAAATTTAAACCCTCAATCTTCAAATTAACGAATCCAGGTCAACTTGTAATTGAACAAAATTCAGTGTAATTATTTCGAGCAATCAGCATACAGGGTTCTCACCTGTGTCCTTGAACGACATTGATTGTTAATTAATCATACAGTATTTTTCATTACCGTGCTGATTCAGAAAATGGTTATCTCTTCCGATTAGTCACAGTTGCTATTTGAACGACAACAGCAGCCTTTCAAAAAGAGCCAGATGAATGTTTTAGATGTTTTACGCACACGGCTGCCAAATCATCCATGTTTTGGAGATGTGACAGAAGTTGATAAATTAATTTCTAATTTGCATACAGAGCTGGAAAATGACTGCAGCACTTATGAACACGGCGATGAAAGCCTCCGTGAATCCTTGATCAGTGGTAATATAAACGAAGTAGTAGCAGTTATTCATGATCAGCCCAGTGGTCCAGAAATGTCCATTTCAGAGACATGTCCTATCGTGGGTTCAAATCCCATCCCCGTCGCCAATTGTTATAACTTGTCAGTTGAATATTGATTGTTTTGGTTGTCGCTGATTGTTACATCGGAAACGGTTATCATTTATACTCGAAATGAAGGACTTCTGCAATTCCCACGATGCGATAGTAA